AGCCAAGGCGCTTGCTGAGTGGGCTGAGGATAACCTTGGGCCATTGTCGTTTGGCCCTCGGTCGGACCTAGTCGCACGGTTTCACCAGATGCAAACCGAGAATGAGCATCCAAGCAGGGAAGCGGCAAATGAGTCATGTGTCGGCCCAGGGAAACAATATGTTCCCCGTCCTCCGCTGGAGGATCAGCCGAATTCGAACCAGATCTCCGCCGACGTATTCCGCGGTCGGGAGATCCGTTTGGGGCTCACTCTGCCCGACTCCCAAAGCGGACATGATGAGGTCAGCGCGCAGGACGCAACGTGGAACGTTGAGTACTGCGACTTTTACAAGGCCGCCGCGAATCTGTGGCGTGCGAGGTCATGCTTGCGCGAAGCCGCAGGGTGCATGACTGAGACTGGGTATATTCACCCTCAGATGGCTGCGGCCATTGCGGCGACCGAAAAGGTCGAAAGATTTTGTAATGTTCTTCGGGCTGCCAACCGCTATGCCGGTTTGGGCACGTATCGATTCAATGAAATCGTGGGCAGGAATCTGCTCGTTGGATATGACGACTGGAGAACTCCTCCGAAGGAGGAGGACCATCCCGAGTTCCTTGCTCGGGAGGTTGAGGACGTCTTCCGTTCCTATTGCGCGGGCCTTTTGAGGTCAGAAAGTTTCGACCTCAGGTCCTGCGTAATTGATCCGGAACCGGCGCCCAAGGCGGAGCCGGCTCCCAAGGTGAAGCCGCCTCCTCCATCTCTGTCGGTCAGTAAGGGCCTTCCTAGGCGATCGGCTCCTGCTGTACATACTGGGTCGGCTCACACCGCCAAGCGTCCAAGAGAGACTGGCGGTGGCTCCATTGGGAGCGTGCAGATCCCAGGACAGTATTTCGGCAAAGCCCGCACAAAGGAATCCCCTGTCCAACCCCCTGAACCGCCAATGGGCGGGACGGAGGGGAGCGCACAGCCGTCCGCGATGGATGTGGATAGAGAGGGGAGTAAGGGCGATGAGAAGAAGAACAAAGCGACCAAAGAGGCTGCTGTAGCGTCAAAGAGCGCAAAGCCGCATCCGGCGAAAGCGTCGCGTCCTGAGGCCCTAAGCGGCTTGTTGGATGTGACACTGATCAGCGATGTACGGGAGCGTGATCGGGATATTTCCGATGACGAGTATTCCCCTACGAATGTGTGCATGTTTCCAGACTCATGGGAGGGCGCAATGCCGACCTCCGTAACTGGAAAGCCCGGAGGCTTTGAGCAGTTCAGAAACGAGCTCATGAGGATCCAGAGAATCCTGGATTCTCCGGCGTTGGTCGACCTTGGTAAGGTCGATCTGGACGCTCTGGGCGAGCCGCCCAGGGAGTACGTCTCGGATGAGGATCACGAGGGTCACGTAGATGATGATGGGATGGGCCCATATGTGGACAAGTTCTCATCAATGGGCGACCGCGACCTAGTGCCCTCAAGGCAGGAGCCGCCCTACTATGAGGCAAAGGCGTGGCGCACCACAGAAGAGGAAATTGAGAGGATGAAAAACCTATTTCCATACGTTCGTGCCGAAAATTATCGGCTTATGTCAGCGGGGACTGGTCCCATAGGTGCCAAAGCGCACGAAAAGGGCGTCCTCCCTGCTGGTGCGTCGCTAGAGGATGCACTGATGCCGATGTGTGCCCGATTGCGAGCACCTACAACCTCACATTCGAGGGTGAAGAGGTTGTTTGATGCACAGAGCGGGACAGCAGGCAGAATCGCCTGTCCTGCCGGTAACGACATCTTCCATTTTTTCCCCGAGATTAACGATACGTCGGCGATGCTTGGGCGAAGCTCCAGGGAGTCGCAAATGCTGCTAGAAATTTTGTCGGGCAACACTGACCCAACGCGGTTGAACGTGAAGCCCGGTGAGCCGGCTCCCAGCTTGTGTGGGACGGTTCCAGACATTCTGGGAGGTTGGATGTCAATGACTCTAATCTCAACGCTCTTTGAGGCCCTATACGGGATCCATAAGTGCACGAGTGTCGAGGTGGCGACCTGAGCGGGTTCTCTCGCGAAGGAGAGCCCAGCGTACCCTCCAGTCGAGCTCCTAATACGGACAGTCTGGAGGGGAGATGGCTCGACTGTGCGCCCGAATGAGGTGCTTTTTGCGCGTTCCACCCTAATCGGGAGGGACGTGCCGTTCAAAGTTTTCAAGCGTTGGGCACTGCGTGACCGAACGCCTATGGGGCCTTTGCTTAGGCCGTTGGGAGCAGCGGAGGTCCCTTACACGGGATACGTGCTGCTGACGATGGCCGAGTATCGGTCCGCCCTCAAAACGAGGTGCATTCGGAGGCCCGGCAAATTCGCCATCACAGTTTTCCCCATGCGACCTGAGCAGGTCTGCAGGGGGGAGATCATGATTGGGTTGGAGGGCGCAAAGGTGCCTCTCCTCAAGTTGCCAAGCCCCAATAATGAGGGCGAATTTTATGTTGACGATCGCGTCAAATACATGGACAAGCGCCATGTCGTTGTGGCCGTTGACCTAAAGTGGATGGCCATCGAGGAAGCCGCCGGCATCTATAAAACCCGACGCGGTTTGATTGCTGTGCGAGAGGAGATACATGCGCCCTTCTGGCGCGCATGTTATCTGCACCAGGAAGGGGATGTAATATACATCCGTCCCTGGGCGGTCCGAGAATTGAATGTCCAGGGACCGCGGAGAGGGGTGTCATTTTCATGGGACAAAGCTCCCATGCATGACTATTGGTGCCCTCGGTGCGCGCATTTGAATATGTATGGCACCATTCTATGCAATGGTTGCCATTTGCCGATATTCTATCGAGAATGGGTGCCAGGCACCATCCGCTCCCAAGTTAGGAGAGGGCAGCCAGTTTGGCTGGACGGACTCAAGGCAGTCCGTGCCAACAGCTGGTATGAAGGGGAGATCCGCGAGGTGGTCAGCTGTATGATCTCCGGTTTGCGCTGTGCGCCTCATCTTGTGCACAATCCCAATGCGGATACCGTGCAGGTTGCGTTTCAGGAGGTTGCGAAAGTCACCTCAAGGGACACTCACGCTTGTGTGCGTGCGAGTGACGAGGCTCTCGAGCGGTGGGTAGCAAAACAGCTGCTCATCGAGGAGAGAAATACTGGCGTCCCAATTCCCGACAATATGTCTGTCATGACATATTTGGTCGAGCACCCGCAACAGGCGGCGCAATGGGGTCGTCATATGCGTCGCCACAGCAAGGCAGTCACCCTCGGCGGCGTCTATGGCCGCTGGTGATCTGCATCCTCAGCTCATCAAGGTGCCGAGGTGAGGATCACGGATGCCCCGCACCGCTGCCGGTGAGGTCCTACTCGGACCTGAACCGCCGAATGCCGCTGGCGGTATCCCTGGAGGTTGTCTTCGAGTGATCGCGCGCCTAGACGGTGCCGTTCAAGGCCGAGATATTTCAGTCTATGCACCACGTTTCAACCAGCAAGCCAATGCGCTTTTGACAATATAATTCAAGCCCTAAATCCACGTGAATCTAATGATTCAATGTGGTTGCATCGCAGATATTTCATGCCTGCCATCTTGGAGTTGAGTCTTTGTTTCTTTCCTTCTTTTGTTTCTCTTGGTTGATTTGGCTACCGGCGTGATCCGCCCCATACCCGTAATTCGGGGTGGTGGCGGGATCCGGGCTCCAAAGCGAGCCCGGGTATGGGGTCGCGAACCCTGGTAGTCTAATCGTCTTTGTTCCTTATTTGGTGCTATTCAACTTCAAATGGCCAATGCGCCTTTCCAAATTCACTCCTTCTCTTTGTACAGTCGAGGGGGGTGTTTTTGGGGGCATGTACTTTTATCATAGCATGTTTGCTCATTGCCATGGCCAATGCGCCATTTGGCTCAAGCTTTTGGTCCCGGCGACCCTATCTTGCTGTTCCGTCAACTCGCCATTCAACGGCGCTGCTCCGCTTCCCGTGCAAACATTGCGCGGGCCGCGGCTGCGGCGGTTGGGGCGGGCTTGGGGGCAGGTCAGGACTTAGGGTTGGGGGCTTGCTCGGTTCGCATTGGTTTGCTTTGCTCGCTCGCTGCGCTGCTTTGTTTGCCTGCTTGGTTTGCTGCTTTGTGCTTGCTTTCGGTTGTCTCTGCCCTGCTGGGCTTCTTTTCTTGTTACAACTGGCACCCCTTTTGGTTCGTGTTTGTGCCGGCCGAGGGCAACCGCTTTGCCCTTGGGACCGGGGGGATAAGGTGGTCTCTTCTTGTTGGTGGGTTAGGGCCTGTTTTATCCATCCCGAAACTCTGTTTCAAACCCTTTCGCAGAACCTATTTTAGTGGGGATTGGGATGCTCACTGGGATCCATAGACATACGGGTATGAGTTTGGTTTGGGTTGCTTTCGCTTCCTTTCAGGGACCACCCCTCCCGGATCATTGAATGATTGAAGCAACCCTGTTTGAAGGGCGCGACCTGGGTCCTTTGCAATCACACTTGTTGAGGGTTCCCAAAGTTATGTTTGGCCAATGTCACTTTTGCCCTTTTCCGCGTTGCTCCCCTTGCAAATTAGGATGGAACCCCAAGGACATCATGTTTAGAGCCCGCAGCTTACCAAATGGCCGAAAGAGTCGTAGTTAAATTTTGAGATAGAGGGTATAGTCTCCATGACCCTGGGGTCATCCATTTGGGTCACTACAAGGAAACCAGTCGTAGCGCAGAGTTTTCCCAGACACACTATGGGGACCCTGTTCAGCTCCTTTTCAGTTAAGGAACATATCCCTGTTTCTCAAAATGGGGGGCCCCCGAAGTTGGTTGGGTTCCGTTTCAGCGGTTCCATGTTGAGAACCTCCCATTCAAGAGTTCTCAGATCGAGTATGATCCCGTTGCTTCACCGGGCAAAGGAAACCTCAGACAGTAAAGTTGAAGACTAGAACACGAGTCTCACAAAACCCGAGTTCCTGGACTTGAAACTGCTTTGGGAAGACCGTTTTACGGGCAATTGCCCGCCATTTTTGTTTGGACGTGTCTTACCCTCAACTCGTGGAAGTGAGGTGAGCGCGTCGTCAGCGCAGGAGCCGAAGCCCCGGCGCCAAAGGTGCCGGAGGAGACTTGGCACTTGGGTCGTCGGTTTGGTTTTTTTAGGGCAACGGCGGACGGACGGGTCTTGGTGACACATGGCTGCTCAAGAAAGGATTCATCACTGTGGGAGGGCAACACTCCATGAATTTTGGAGGGCACCCCAATATGAATTGACAGGGGCTCAAAAAAGTGGAATTCCAAAACGGCACCTTGGCGGATGGGAGCAAAGACTACCCGCGTAAGCCCGGGTCTGATTTTTTTTAGAGCCACACCCACATGGACCCTACAAAACAGGCATGAGAGTATTTGAGGAATCGAATTTTGGCCCTGCAAATGCCTGGTTTCTAGATGTTGGTGGAGGGTTGCATGTTGGTGTGGAGTAATCCGTTCCCCCTATTAATAAAGGTCTCCCTAATAATAAATATTTGTTTCGGAAGTCCCAAATCCGGGAATACTACTTTTAGAATAGCCAATACTAAACCAATTCTAAAGTAGATATTTTCCTGCCCGTACTCAAATCCAGCCCCATTAGGGGGACCCCGGGGGCACGTTTCCTTTACTACGGCTGTACTACAAAGTTGCGACTTTCGAGCCAGAGCTCCGGGAGCACGTTTCCTTTACTACGGTTGTACTACAAAGTTGCGACTTTCGAGCCAGAGCTCCGGGAGTACGTTTCCTTTGAGAACCTGCCCTCCAAAACCTGCCCTCCAGAACCAGGGGACCCCTAATAATAAAAATTGTTTTGCAGGCCGGGTATTTTTTTTATTAGGGAGGGGGGGGGGGGGCGTCGTCTATTATTAGGGGGAAGGGATCATTTGGATGTTCAATCCATGATCCTAGTCAAGCTACAGTAGGTGACCAGCCATTTTCCTGCTTGTTGTCAAAGAGTGGTTCCTTTGGATACCTGGAATCACTGGGCTTTGTAACATCATTCAATCCACGAGTCTTGAGCCCCCAATTGTTTTCTGCGAATGAACCTTGAGGTAACCAGGCGCTTCCAAACCTGTGGCAACCATATGGAAACCAAAGGACACATCTTTGGCTACCCAATGGCAACTGGCAGCAGGCTTCGATCTGGGTTTCGGTTGGCCCCTGCGGAGTTCAGGAGGGAGGATTTTTGGGAGACTTGGCTCGTGTCAATGTGAGCAAGGGACAAAAATCCAAAAGGGTAGAAGTAGATGGCAGAATTCCCTTGCGGGTAAGTGGGATGAGAACAAAAAAAATCCATGGGGGAATTGTGTAAGCATCCAATCGAGTGCACATTCCGGAGTTGCCACTTGATCGTTGGTGTACTTGATACCGCGCCAAGAAACACCTAGCCGCTCCTGTTTCTCGCTCGGTGCTTTGAGATTCAAATCTCCGAATCGGTTTGAATTTAAACGGAAGAAAGTTAACCAAATCCATAAAAAACAACAACAAATAGAATCACGTCTAAAGGTACCATCTAGTGAAATCCCAACTATTCAACTGTACTTGGGTATTATTTTTGGCATGACTTCATATCGGTGTTAAGCAGGCTTTGGTTTCAGTGACTGGTTTCAATTTTATTGTTGGTTTTGGTTTCCATTCGGTTTGCCGTTGATCACCACCGACCAAAAGGGGGTCTACCATTTTGAAAACCTCTCACATGTTTGGCAGGTTGTGAGGTTTTTCGAAGTCAGCATTTGCCTTGAACCAAATATTGGCAAAATATGGGCGCACGTTTGTCTCGTTTGCCCAAGTTGACCATTTGCCATTTGCCCATGTGGATTTGGACCCCAAGAACCACGGTGGCTGGTCTCGTTTACCGTTAAGCTTGGCTGAAAAGGGTACCGGCCTCAGAAGCCCACACCCAAATGAGCCACAATCCAAACCCGGGTAGATGAAGGTTAAGGGGCAGTCCCAGCCAGAGTCATAGTTGCGGATATCCGCCTTCTTGATTCTTGAAGCATGGTGGGATTACGACCATTGTTGTACCGGGTTTTGATTGTGACTCGGATGCGCCCGGTCTTCGGGCTCGGATGGATGATTTTATCATCCCAGGAGCGCTTGAGTGCCCCCGCGCCGGAGGGGGCGGAGAGCGAGGTGGCGGAGCATCACGAGATGAAGGCAGCATCACGGAAACCAACTAGCAGGGATACAGGGGGAAGCAGGGATACGGTCTAAATGCACCTTGACTAAGTTTGATATGGGACATGGCGCCAAGGGAATCCCCCCATATCCCCGCTCCCTCCGTATCCCCGCTTGTTCGTACTGAAAGACCGGGTCTGGGTAAATCGTTTTACTCTTTCCCCAAAAGGATTCGTCTCAGATTAGGCTTGCCATTTTAGGGATTTCCCTTCAGCCAAACAAGTGGACCTGAAAATCGGATCCGATTGGCCAAGGCAGAGGAGCACGAAAAGGAGGGAGAGCACGAGCTAGAGGAGGTGGGTTGCTGGGAAGTTGGGTCCGGTTTTTGCGGAGGGCACATGATGTGTGTTGTTATGTTAAGGAAAAAGAGGGGGGAATCCGACTCCTTGTGCAAGTTTGAAGGTATCCCGCAGGCTCGTTTGGTGGACATGTTTGACGTGAGAACGTGGGATGGCAATTCGTTGGTATTCAGAGACGGGCATCACTTTTCATCACTTTTCCAGCTGGAGGCGAGGGGCAACCCCGAGAGAGCGAAGTTGGGAGAGTCAGGTGAGTCAGGTGACTGACATGGACCCCCAACCTGAAGTTCTGGACCCCCAACCTGAAGCTCCTTGCAAACGGGATCACTGCTTGAAGTATGAGAATTGCCGCGGAAAGCTCCGATTGAGATCCAGTTTGTTCCAAGGCGGGATGTCCGAGTTTGTTTCTTCTTCTTCTTCTTCTTTTTGTTTTTGTTTTGCCGGGTAGGGTTTGCCTTAATCAGTACTCTCAACTTTGTGCATTGCTTAACTCTGCTTTGGGAATTCCCTTGAACGCCAGCCATCAAAGCAGGGAGGTTTCTATATTAGGGAAACCGCGAAGTCCTGATATAGGGAGACTGTTGGGAATTTTGATTTGGCGGGGCATGTCCCAACATGTTTCGCACCCCCATTTGAGGATTGTGCTAGTTTTTAGGTAGCGATCCCCTAATTGAGAAATTATCCACGTCAATGGTTGACATGTATAGACCAGCTTTGGTAAATTATAACCCCGTTACGACCTACGTACGTGGGTTGAACATTCAAGCAGGGGACCCTGACCGCAGAAAAACAACAGCTGGTCCAACAGGTCTCACTGTCAGAAGGGCTGTACAATACGTTGGGCAAAGCCTCTTTTGGGCACCAAGCGTCCCTTTAAGTGGCTTGACTAACCCAATACTCAGGCAGCTGCATGGCTCCTACTTGTTTTCGTGCGCGCAGCTCGTTGCCTGCAAAAGCCAAACACTCAGCTCCAAACCCCCAAAGCCAGAAGCCCCTGAAATCTCAAAGCTCAAACCCCGAAATCTGCAACACCCTCAAGCCCAAACCTGCTGTTTTTCCGCCAACTTTGGGTTTTATGGGTGGGATGGGCCGACAGACCCAAAAAGTGGCTGCCACTGTCGCAGGAGTTGGAGCATGAGGAGGAGCTGCCGCCTGGCTCAAAACCTGGGTAGGTGAAGGTTACGATGGTTACGGGAAATGCTGGGCTGACAGCTGACACAAACTGTTTGAGGTTGGAGTTAGAGGTTAGGGGTTGGTGTCAGAGGATAGGGTTAGAGGATAGGGTTAAAAGTGAGAATTCGCCGCGGCCCCCCCCCGCCCCCCAGACATCGTTGCGGATCTCCGCCTTTTATATGATGTTTTTAGGGTATAGACCATTTTAATACCAGGGTTTGATTGTGACTCAGCTGAACGACCGACAGACAGACAGAGACAGAGAGAGAGAGAGAGACACACAGAGAGAGACAGACGGAGAGAGACGGACGGAGAGAGACAGAGGCAGAGACGCAGACACAGACACAGACATAGACATAGACAGACAGAGACAGAGACGGAGACAGAGGCAGACAGGCAGTCAGGCAGACAGGCGGTCAGGCAGGCAGGCAGGCAGACAGACACACATTTGGTGTGCGTGTGTGTGCGTCTGTTTCGGCTGCGGGTTGCATGTGCCGCTCAGGCCAGACGATGTGACTTGGACCACCGCGTTGCTCCTCATGGGTTCCTTGCATGATTAGGGCAGGGTGGGCCCGTTGGTTTGTGTTGAAACAGGTTTCCACGGGTGCGGTATTTGTTGTGAAGGCACTCTGTTGGGGAGCTATTCTGAAGGAATCCCAGAAGAAAAAACCAGCTGTTTTAGGGGTTCCCCCTTGTCAAGACGAACCCACTGTGTCAACCACTTGCTTTTTGGTGTCCATTTTAACATGGGACCTTTCAGGCCTGCAACAGGTTGAACACCTTCAAGGTTTCAAGACACGTGGCTCGGTTTTGGAAGATGCACGCGTTCCTTTTGGAACGGGAGGTCACTGCGCACTTCAACTGTTTATTCCTCCAGATAGCTGAAAGCTATAGGGGTTCCAACTTCTAATAAAGAATGGAAAGTGATTTGCAAGATTGCCGGCCGGGTGCTAGGGGGCATGCAGTTTGGGGTGCTGGTGGATGCTGTTTTGCGAGCTTGACGGCCGGGTGCTGGGGGGCGCGCAGTTTGGAGTGCTGGTGGATGCTGTTTTGCGAGCTTGACGGCCGGGTGCTGTGCTAGGGGGCATGCAGTTGGGGTGCTGCTGCATGATTGCGAGCTCATGCAGTTTGGGGTGCTGCTGGATGCTGTTTTGCGAGCTTTCCGGCCGGGTGCTGAAGGGTATGCAGTTTGGGGTGCGGGTGGAGGTGACGGCCGGGCCCTAGAAAGGATGCAGTTTGCGGTGCTGGTGCAGGTGGTCTGGGATACTGTTCGAGGTGCTAGTAGGCGCATTTGATGGTCCTCATGCTGATGCAGGTGCTGTTTTGGGGTACGCACTGTTTGGGGTGCTGTTTGAGGTGCTGGTGACGTTGCGGGCGCAATTTTCCGAGAGTGCCGGCGAGTGCTATGGGGTGGTGGTGCAAGCGCCTTTTTTCCCAGAGAACTGAAAACCATAGGCGTTCTAACTTTAATGAAGGGGACTTGTTTTGCAAGATCGACGGCTGGGAGCTAGGGGGCACGCACTTTGGGCTACTGGCGCAAGTGCGTGCTGTTCAGTTGGCAGGGTGCTAGGGCGGGTGCTGTTTGCGGGATCGCGGTTGTGGCATCATCATGTTGCTGTCCGCGGTATCATGATGCTGTCAGCTGAACCGATTCGGACGTTGTTGCTGCCCTAACTGTGGCGCGTAGATCATGATGTAGTCAACCACGTCATGATGCTGCTGGAATCACTGCGATGCTGCGTTCTGGCTCGGTGCCGCGGGAACCGTTATAATGCTGCATCATGGTTTGTAGCCGTGGTGTGCTATTTGGGGTCTATGCTGGTGTGTTTTTTGAGGGTACCGGTGTGCCAGGGCCTGGTCAAAACACGGAGCAAACAAATTGGGAGTAGTACCAACAGACCTGACAGTGTTCGAACCAAGCTGGGGCTCATGGGAATAAGCGCGGTGTTCAAAGAGAACCAAACACAAGGCTTTTTCGAGTTGTATCAGGTCCTGCCGTCCTTTTCTGCCCTTCCGATCGGGTCTATAGAGCAATGCTGAAGCATCAGAACTTCCGTAGGCTAAGACTTTACATGGCCATGGGGCATAACCTATGGCTCCATTTTGGGGTGGATGCACATCCATTTGCCACCTCTTTTGATGTTCACCAGGGGTACAGGGTTTTGACCCACAGCCAAATGGGGGAACGCACGCAACACGATTGGAGAAAATCGGTGCGGCACGTTTCCATGGCTGACATCTCTCTCGCTCTCTTCTCCGTGAGACGAGGTGAGGAGATGGAACAGGAATGAAGAGACAGAGGAATGCACGCTTGGAAGCGAATAAAGGCATTCCTCATCACAGGTCCCCCAGTAGTGCCCTTCTCTCCCCTTTTGTGCGGGAGGGTTCCCCTCCTAATAGACTACAGAAGAAAAGGGTACCCTTATTCGAACCTTTCTACTGGAGGACCTAGTCACTTTCTCTCCCGTTCATCACTATCTTATGGAAGCTCCAAATGTAGGAATGGGAGAGAAAGTGTGAGCGCTCAGGAAGTCTTGTCTAGCACTCACCTCTGACATTCCTTCACCATATTCTTTCACCTTCCTACATCTCGCTAGTGGTCGGCTCCTTAAGCATGACTTAACGGCCCTAGTTGCAGGCAACACGATTCACTTTATAGATATGGGTTGACACTGTTTGCATACTTGATTGTTGCTGTACCGGCGGTTTGCACATGACTCTAATCGTAGACGCCCTGCGAAATTGCTGGTGGACATACATCCCTAGCATGATGTCACCAAAGGGTTCTCAATCGGGTGTGGGTCAAACATAGGTACCCGAAATAGAACCCTGGCAAATGAACACATAAACTAAAACCTGCGGTTCCCAGTGCTTTAAGTTTGACATACCCAATTGGCATGTCACAATAGATTTATTCATGGCTCGGTGAATCGAATTCTTCATGTTTCAGGCTTTCTGGTCATCGGCGTGGGGCTGCTCTATTTGGTGCATTATCCCGATGAGGACATCAGAAGAGCCACTTGGATCCGCGTGAGGGTATCCCTAAAGACCTTGGACTCGGCTGCAACCAGACCGCAATATGCTCCCCGAAAGTTGAGGCTTACATGGTTGTCGTTGGGAAACATTTTACATGTTTGCTTATTGTGGTTTAGTGGTTGAAATCCAAATCCACTTAACTGCTAAAGTTTAAGTTTTTGCTCCCCTTCCAACGTCAACCAAGGGGTGGGAGGTCGATACCTGGGAACAGGGTTGCATCAGGAGGACTTTATGTTCTAGGCAACACCCATTTGGCCAGGGCTGATACTTGTGCGCACAAGACAACATGGATAGGTGCAATATGGTGAAATGTTGGCGCCTCCAGGTGCACTCGGGAATCCAGGATTTCCGCTTAATGTTCAAGTAACCTTGGCAGATTTGATGGTTGCTGTTTGGTGGATGCTTCACAATGGACCACCGGCACACTGCCCACGTGTGATTTTGCACGGACGGACACTTTCAAAGTTCTTTTTGGGTGGAGGCTCGAGCCGGGTTGTCGCACTCCCAAACACGTGTGTTGATGGAAGCGGGTGTCAATAGGAGTCAGTAATTTGCGCAACTTGAGGGGAAATCTGTCAAAAGAAGGCAAACCCATGTCTTTATAAAAATGCAACTTGTTCGATGGATATTCACTAGAGGGATCTTTCATGTTGAGCTAACTTCCGTTTCAGGACCTACTTGTACCTGGGTCATACCTGGGTCAGCTTCTGACATTTTGCATCTTTGCCGCTGACTATGATGATCATAGAACAGATTCCAATCCTAGGCTTGGTGTTGAAGGTGAAGTCTCAGGTAACAAGGAACCCCAACTGGTTTCCGGAGGCCTTCAGAGTGGAAGCCCAGAACCCTGCGTCTTGGTTCCCTGGTACCAAGATGTTTGTTTTTTTTGTTTGGGTGTCAGTTTGAGGTCCCCTGTCGGTTCCAGGTTCTTTTTTCAGGGATTCATATATATATATATACACATATATATATATAGTTGTTTATATATATAGGTATATGACGTTGGGTCAAGACTTCCGATTATGGTCCATTTGGGAGGGACATGGAGAGACTCACTAAATGTTCCACACAAACAAGCGCACTTAGCAATGACTCACTTCTTTTCCCAGGTCCTGATGACCATGGCTCACATGTTGAAGCTGGTGGTTGGCCGAATTTGTAAGGGATTCCTTTAAAGCTGAAACCATGGATCAACCACGATAGAAGGGACCACGGTGCAAAGCTATATGCTTATCCCTCAGCTTCATTGGAAGTCTTGACACCTCAAAAGAAGGTCGTTTCGGCACCGAGTGGGGTCTGTTTTTTTTGTTTGTTTTTTTTTTTTGGTTTTTTTTTTTTTTTTTTTTAAGGACCCTCAGAATGGTGATTGTCTTTTCTGTTCCCCTTTAAAACCGCCAAAAACTGTGCAGCCTCCAAAACAAACCACCCCTACATGTTTTTGGGCTGTCGGCTGCTTTGTTTTGCAAGCGCCTCATCCATGGGAAGGTTAGATAGATCAGGCCATGTGGGGCATGGTGAACACCACGCTCTCCATCTTTTGTGCCGCGACCTTCGACTTCTCAGTCTTCAGGCGCCGACATTTGGTGGACTGAGGCTCTGAGGCTTGTTGGTCGCCATACTCCGAATCAAGTTTGAAAATTGGTGCCCCTACTCAAATGAGAAACTGGTGCCCCATGGTGCCCCTAAGTTTTGTCGATCCACCCACTTAGGAGGTTACCCTCTGGTCAGCCCACTCGGGTTGAGTCGGGACCCCACGCTTACTCGGAGTCATTCTGGTGGATGGCAAGAAAGGGGTGAAACCACCCAGGTTGAGGATTTGCCTTATAGGGCACACAGGGAGTGATGGCCGGACCTGATCCGTGTTCTGGGGACTATGTCAATCCGCTTGCGGCTTTGTGTGGTTAGCATTGATTTGTCCGTGGGGAGAACCATCCGCTTTCGGCTGTTGTTGCGGAAAACAAACCGAGGAAAGCATCCATTTCCAAAGTTTCAATACCCATGCCATGGTCAAAACGCCACTGTTTGGGCTTCACGTAGCCTCTTGTCTTCCTTCTCACCCTCAGTGATAAACAGTGGCCGGGGCCTCTGGCCAAGGGCTAAGCGGCTAAGATGGGGCTCTGTTTGGAACTGGTGATGATGTGGCCTGTAAAGCAAAAGAGAGAGGTCAAAAAACAGATTGGTTGGACAGCTAGATCTTACTAGACTGAACCCATTTAAATAGATGCAACCATGGGGTTTGTGATCAGTTCCCTGGTGATTTCTCACCAAGTCTTGGGTCCTAGCTTGGCTGAAGCGCCAGGTTTCTCCACTTCCAGGTGGTGCTGTCGCCCCCGCCCAGACTGGGCCCCAGAGCTCTCTTGCGTTTTGGGTGCGCGTTTTGGTGGCTCCCCGGTCACCCGCCTTCCGCCCAAACATTGGGTCGGAACAACGGCGAGGAGCTCAAGTCTTAGATCTCTTGGAAACAATTTTAACGTTGATGGCCATAAAATATGGACCAGAAGCGCTATGGCCATGATTTTTAATAGGGAACCACCTCAAAAGTGATTGGTGGACATGAATCCCCATGTAAATGATGTCCACCAAAGGGTCCTTTATTAAAAAAACAAAACAAAAACATAGCCATATTGATTGTGGCTTGGGGGCAACAGCTGAGCTAGTGCTGTCATTCCAGTGGTTGTCTTCTAGTTAGAGTAAGGGGAACCCAGTTGAGCAGTCAATGAGTTGACTTCAGGGCAGTGTAATTCGTGTTGCAGGGATCCGACATGGGCAGTTGCTTCTCCCGTTTTAATCCGCCAGGTTTCCCGTCCGTGGAATTCGGGGACCTCACTAGATTGTGGCCGGACAGTGCCAAGGGTCTCATGCTAGAAGTAGCCAGAGTCAGCTTGGGAGCACGGAGTCTGCTGGCACCTCCAGTGAGTTGGCTGAGGGTAAATCACCGTTGCCGTGGTCCACTTTGAGCGTAGTCTAGGTGCAAAAAGCGGTTCAGGCCCGTTTCGCGGGGTCCGATCACTCGGATTGCAGCAACCATGAGCTTGGATTTGGAGACCATGTTAGAATCCATGTTGCCAAGTGACCACCTTTATGCAACCGGGTCCTTGCTGCCTCGCTCCTTGCAAGAGACCAGGCTTGGTGATCCTGGGTCCTTTCAGTCCATCGGTTGCCGAGGGGGCTTGGGGATCAAGCACGATCGCCCAGAGATCAAGGCCACGGTTGGCTGCTTGGATCCATCCGGAAAACCTGGAAGGAGGTGCCCGTTTTTTTTGGCAGGCCATGGAGCCGGAGTCTCCGCCATGAGATGTTAGGAAAATCTGAGTATGGGAATGGGCCATTCTCTGAATATGCAAGTTGGGTGCCCCAGATTTGGGCCAGGGGAGGGTTTTCAGTTTGCAATGGTCTGCACAAAGTGGTGCACAAGTTCTCCGATTTGAGGGGTAGAATGAGGTATTAGTGATGAAGGTCCTTTGCTTGGGGATTTGCGAATCATAATGTGTTGCCCAAAATGACCCGGGGCCCCTACTGTTTCTCGTGGCGTTGTTTTAGGCATACACATGCCGGTGCAAAAACGAAAGCTGCGGGGATATTGTTGGCGCAGCATGTGGTCCTTGTGCTTTTGTTTTGTTCCAAGCAATGCCAAGCTGGTAAACCAAGGTTACCCAAGATCAAAGTCCCATTCCTAGGGGGAATCCCTTGATAAACCTTAGATACTGGGAAACATAAAATGGATGTAGCGAATTGAGACTCTATCAAGGTCTTTCGCATCTCCAGCACTGGTTTCGGCTTTTGGATGGATTTAACGATTTGCAGGTGAGTTAAGTTAGAGCTTTGCGTAGTTCAAGTTTATTGGGCACGTAGCGCTCGGCTCCCAGCGGAAACCTCGGGCATTGGCTCGAACGCACCCGAGGTGGGTTCTTTTTGCATGGAATGTCAGACCAACTTTTGACCCCTTCTCCCCATAAGATGGTGGCGCAGAGTGGAGGATTGCAGGTGCTTCACTGGAGTCCGCAAGTTTTGTCTCCGGCCAGGTGGGCGGTTTCGTTTGAACTGGTCAGGGAATCAGCAGGGATTCGTGGTGTTTTCTCCGAACCTAATTCACATTTGAGGAATTAGAGTGCCCCCAATGTGCGCCCAGGTTTTGGGAGTGAACACGTTAGGCATCCCCTGAAGTGAAACCAGGAACAGGAATTCATTTGGTTCAATCGCCCCACCAGTTGGATGGGTCTGGATATTCCAACTTCCCCGCGGATTTTGCAAGTTCGCTGAGGTTTTCTCTTTGCCGCCCTTGTGAGCGTCGTCTTGAACGCAGCTGGGCGTGAAAGGCCGAAACGAAGCTCGAGGCCTCACATGGCGTCAAACGGGTCTGTCCTGTTTGGAGGGTTCGCCCCTTGGGCGGTTTTTACAGGGAAGCCAAACGGGAGAGCCGCTATTTTGGGGTCCCCTAAAAGACTGAAGCACGCCCAACTTGGGGCTTATGAAAAAGGAGGGGATTCGGATCACTGGAGGGACAACGTTCTTATCAGGTTGAATCCGGGGCCAGGAAAGTTCTCAGCCTTCGAAAAAAAGAAAAGAAAAAACAAAAAAAAACTTCGATCCAGAAGCTTCCAAGGACCTTTGGGGTGAGGGGTTGGTTTCCTCCCAAGGCAGGTCGGATGTAGGGTCTGCACTAGCGATTTGAACTTTATTTGGCGGAAAAGAGAAGGTTCAGGTCGGAAACTCCCGACACTTTGAAAAGCTTCCAGCCTACACCAAAGACAATAGTGTAGAATTTAGTTGGGACCCATTTGATCTCACCAATTTAGAGGCTTGTTCCGCACTAACAGGCAAGTCTTGTAACTTTTTGCATAGTCAAAGACGAACCTAGTCGTTTTGAGGGAACTCACAGGACCACCTTAGATCTTGAGAAAAATCCTCAATCCTTTTGGCTTCGCGGCTCCTTTTGTCAGGTCCACCGGGATTTTGGGGGGCCAAGCTTTCAGATAGGTAACCAGGGGAAACCCACCGTTTGACAAGGGGGAGTAGCCTAGAGGAAGGCGGGTTCCCTGAGATCCCAACAAAGGGGTCATTTCCGTCCAAAGATCCGGAGCGAGGGAGTCTATGCATCGCGTTTGGGAGTCAAAAGGACGGGTCTGCAGCAAGATCTACCCCCCAAGAAAACCGACATATTTTTGTTTGGGGGGGTAGCGTTGAGCGAAACTTTGCATTCGCGGCAGTATCTTGGGTCCGTGTTGGGAGTGGGGCAAGGTGGCAGAGTTTTACTTGTTATTGAGTCTCTACATGTGACTCAATTCGCAGCAATGCAAAGAGCAGTTTTAAACATATGCATATCTATATATATAGGTATGCATATGTTATGCATATACATGCATTGGTATCGTGGTTGAAGTTTACATGCAATGTGTAGCTCGTGACGCATTTCCGAGAACCCCCCTTTCTCCTTCCTCCCGGTAAACTGCAAGGGAAGGCATCCGGGGAGTTTGTTTGGCTTCCTCTTAGGGTATACGGTATGCGGGACTAATCCCACACACAATTTCCTCATTGGAGTCCATGTCTGGTTGACATCTGTGTTTTTCTTCTTTGTTGACCGCCCCATAGCTCACAGTCAGCTGCATGCTCGGCCTGGTCTCGGCGCGGCCGAAGCGCCGAAGCCGAGTCCACAGGTGCGCCGACGCTCGCTTCGGATCTTGCGGGATGCCTTCTTCGGCCTCGGAAGAGCTCCAAACCAGCCATCCAAGCACCAGAGACTAGTAGAGACTCCCAAAAAAGGAAGGTTGTCCTCTACTTTGGTGCATTTTGCTTGGACGTTAATTAGGACTTTAACTTTTTGCCAACTAATGCGTTCTCCATTAAACCACTAAAAGTTAAACTTTTAGCAGGGCAGCAGAAAGCAGCCGAGGTTTGGTTTGTCTTGAACGCTTCACAACAGATGGTGGTGGTCTCTTTTTGTTGGCTTTCCTTGAACGCTTCACCCAAAAAAAAGAAAAGAAATGAGCACAAAGTTAGGGGGACGAGCCGCCCAGGTTCTCCTTTTCAAGATCACCAACCAGCAGATGCTCTTCGCCGTGCGCACCTTGGGTGGCCATGCGCCCCGGCTTCCTTAGCGGCAATCGGATGGCCATTTTGGCCTGTGAGGTGAGGATCGGGCCCCGGATCAGGACCCGGATGACCTGATCCTCCATTTGCCGAAATGAATATCTGTTTATTTCCCTTAGGCAAATGGACAATCGATCAGGGGGTCTAAAAGGAAAGAATCCATTTGCCTCAGAATTTCCCTTGTTGGGTTTCAAAAGAATTCATCACTACTGGAAATATGTTTATATAAATTGTTCCTGGGGCTTTAACCAAATGGAAGTGACAAGATCGATCCCTTTGACGTGGCTGTTTCCAGCGCCGTGCTGTGTCCCTTGAACCAACAGCGCCCTCGTTTTGTGGGTTTACCGGGTGTTTTTCTGTTCATTTGTTCCCGAAAAGGAGCCTCCAAAAGTGGTGAATAGAATGCACCACGTGCAACTTTTGAAGAAATCCAGTGACCTTCTTTGCATGAACAAAAACAAGCGTTTCATCTTCCCCTTAGCACATCTTAGCAGAAACCCACGGGGATTGCCTGCGTCAGCCCTCCGAACGGGGTGTAGAATTCACCCCCCAAGGAAGGCTTTGGGAGAGGCCCATGAACGAGGCGGCCGGACTGAAGCGTCCGAAGCATGTAAAACGTAGGCCGGGACTTAGTGGCCTTTGACGGTGTGAAGTTGCACGATGCTGGATTTTCTTGGGCAGGATGATCCTTAAAACCCATTTTTCCGATGCATGCCTGGATTTTCTTTGGCAGGTTGATGTTTGAATATCATTTTCCCGGAGTCTAAGTTTGACGAAAGATAAAAGCGAGCAAATGCCGCCGAGCGTGGCCGAGAGTCCCCGGCCTTGGGAGCTGTTCCAATCCCGCCTCGGTGCCGGGACCCGTTCTGGAGCGCATGTCGATTTATGGCTCGTGAAGTGATACAGCTGGCCCATTTCAAACACCTTCTCCGCCACGTCAAGCTACTGGCGTGTGGATAAAATCCACGAACCGTTGTTGACCACGGGTTGGTGCAAAGCTATACGGAAGGGCGCGTAAAAGCGGCTATATCTTGGTATGCCAAGCTTCTGCCAACTGTGGCAAAACGGGCACAATTTGACCTCTACTTGTTTGAACATGTTTGAACATGGTGTGGTTTTGCAATGAACAGCAAGCATCAGCAACGAATTGCTTTTGAAAAGCTAGGGGCATTGTGTATGTTCGGATTTGACAGATGAAGCGAATTTGTCAAAATCCCTCAAATTCGACATCTTCAAAACAAAGGCCTGTTTGAACCAAGTAACTTGACAACTTGATTTCCGCCTATTTGGCGGTTATCTCAGGCTTTCGATCATGAGAACCCCTCGGAAATGGGACGACGTTTTGAGGGGCCCAGCGCCTTCTCCAGCCGAGGTCTTTGCTTTTGCAGGCATTTTGACCTTCGCCTTTCTGCAGGAAAGCGAATGGTGCCGGGATTCCGTTTGGAAGACGCTTGGATGCCATTGGACGGCAGGTGGGTTGAATTCTTGACTGCTATTGGGCAACGGATCTTTAGACTTTTACTTTTTGGTTGAAATAAAGGTGTTTTGCACTAAACCCCCAAAAAGTGATTCACTTTTTGCAGGGGGGTCTACAGCAACCAAGGTTTTTACCATTGGTTACAAGCGGTTGGTAGCTGGTTGGTTGATCCCTTATGACCATGGTGGTAACTAAGTGGGTTGAACATTGCATGGGTTTAGGGGAAGTCGACATTCATTATCACTGAACAAACCTCTTAAGTCAAGCAGCATCTTGCAGTGTTCCCTATATTTCCCCTTTGAACATCATTCCCTGATATTGAAGTGGCCCCAACGGTAATGATTAAAACCAAAGGGAAAGATAGGGCAGCCTATCTCGAGATACGTAGCAGAGCTTTAGTTATGCCTGCAAGTGCCAGCACACGGGGTCTGGCCGGCATTTGTGGGTAGAACCGATGTGCTGCTTCTGGCTGCTGGTCGGAACTCTGATCTGTGGACGTTGGTTTGTCCCTTCCAACAGAGGCAGCAGTTTACTGGGTGCGTCTTTTTGAGGGGTAGCCCCGTAAGAGGGAACCACTAGGTCTGTGTGGCAAGTTAAATATGCATGTAAGCTATGCAATTGTTTTTGCTGATTATATAATTCCAGAAGGGCCAACGTAACTAAAGAATCATTTAAGTCATCGGACTGAGTTAAATGTGTCTCATGTTTGTATTTTTACAGACAGGGAAAAGTATTAAGATTGTTTAACACATTTACATAGATAGTTCGTAGATGTGGCGGTAGCCAGGACTATTTCAATATTAAGCGCATTTTCTCAAACAGTATCAATAAGCACATTGAGCCACATTATCAATGTGTTCGATGTGTTCTCAATATTCCAGGAAGGCCAACGTATGTTTGATATTTGCCGATACCTATAGGAAAGAGGGTTTGGGAAGCGACTCCTAGGCCCCTTGGTTTCCCGATGTTTCTCGTGGTTTCCACCGCAAACAGCGGTGAAAAGGGTGCCCCTGCCATGTTGCAAGTAAACGTACGTAGCCACAAAACCATGGTTTACTTGTTCCAAATCTCCCGATTTGATCCTCTAATTTACCCAACCATAAATTTGGAGGGTTTCAACTTGTTCCCTTGCTTGCAATATTGCGTTGGCATCCACCGTGGGCTCCAAATAGCAGAAACCCATATATCCTTGAGCCGTTCAGTTTGGTGGTAAACGTAAAGGATTGGACATAATTTCCCACGCCTTTGAATTCTTGCCCCGCTTCAAAGGACACCAAGGGGAAACCAATCACTGGGAGGGGCCTCTAGTTTTGACATACTCCCATCCAGCTTTGTTGGCTTCCCTAAAGGAAAGGACGCCTTACTTGAGATTCCTGATGTCTCCGGTGTGAGAGTTACTTTGTAATGTGCCCACATCCAACTAAGTCGCATGAGACTCAGTCGCGCCTTTTGGAACGGCTGCCCTTTGCAGAATCAATTTGTCAGACTCGAGGTAAAATTTTCGAAGGCTGACAACCTGGCGGAGCTGGGGGGGGGTCTTTTCGTGTGTTCTTTCTTGCCAAATCAGCCCAAGACGGCCCGAAACGAGAGAGCGAGAAGCTGCATGAGAAACCGCTGGGCAAGTGAGAAAGTCATCCAAAGGGAGGAGGGGGGCATCGGGCATCTCCTCCCAACAAATGTTGGAAACAACAGTTCACTTTTTAGGAAGTGACAAGAGGGTTCCCCCTTATTGTTGTTTGGCCAACAGCCAGCTTTCAATTTTTGGAGAAGACTGTACTAGAGGCAAAGAACACGTTGAACTTTTGAACTTGGACTTTCTGAGTTCTGGCATCAAACTCTGCGGCATGCGTCGTAAGACTGCCGAGGTGCGTGGGCGTAGCAGTGTTGGCGGCCCTGGCCACTCGGATCTCCGGTTTTTAGACGAGCCTCAAATTCGCAGACATGTGGTGACTGTTTTGTTCTTTTGTTGAAGGAGGTTTGTCTTGATAGTCAACTATCACAAGAAGGGTGCCCTTTTCCCCATGGCCGTTGGACATATCGGAAACAGGAACCAAACCTTGTATGGGCACCAAACTTGCGGCGTGCGATTCCGTTCTGTCCACCAACGGTCTACCCTCGCAACAGGCTTGAGAGCAACACTGTTAAATATCGGCCTTTTTGGCCAGTTGAGGCCAGGTTTCATCTTGAGGTGATCTAGGAGAAATTTAGGGACCGATGAATTACCCAAGGTGTGGTTTGTCAACTTTCTGTCAACCTCGGTCTGAAGATGTGAAGCCTCGCACCGACACCGTCAGGTTGCCCACGAGCTGCAAAGCGTTTCCCACTCCCCAAGCTGTTGATTTTTTGGGCAGGTTTGATTGGAAGGTATGTTTAAAAAGAATGGGAAACCCCTAAAATGGCTTCGAGTTTCCTTTTGGTTTTCCTGCATAACAACAAAACAAAACAAACAAGAATCAATGAGGGCACCTTCACCCACCCAGAAAAGGCGAGCCATTTTTTGCCCCCTCTCTCGTGGGCTTCAGAATTTCTGCCGTTCCGCGGTTTTTTGAAACGGCGAAAAAGGGTCCTTGGGATTTGAACACGCCCAGCTTGCATAGCTTCCATTTGCTGAAAACTAGTTTGTCTTTTCCCTGTCGGTTTTAAAGGGAATCGATTTCACTACTGGACATATATGTGTTGTTATTTGGCTTGAGCAAATAGAAGATAGCGAATCATAGGAACCACTGAGTACTTGACACCCCATCCCAGCTCATTGTTTCTTGTTTTACCGTGTTTTTTCAGGAGCGTCGCTTCGTGATGCGTTATCTCGCCTTGAGAAACGATGTCGGGTTTGTGGGCTTTGTTGTCCGAACGTGGACGCTTTTCTAGACGACACTGTGCTTGTATTTCCTGGGAGGGGGCTGCCTGCTGTTTGGCACAGTTTTCAGTGCCGACCCCCGTGGCCCTTGCATATCAAACGGAGTGATCCATAAGCTCCCCGGCACCAAAGGCACCCAGGTCGAGCCTGGTAAAATCTCAGATCCCAGATCCCAAGCCTCGTTACCCTCCTCCAGGTCATGGAAGCTCCCACCTCTTGGGAAGACTGGGTATCATTTGGAGGCCTTCTGAGAGCTTCCATCTTAGTCTGAGAAAGTGTAGGTCCTCGCAAACCGGCCGGTTGACCATCCGAGGTCATGGTCCTTGCCTACCGCATCTCTATGGTGGTTGCCAAGGCGTATATAGGCGAAGAGAACTGGAAGGACCCAGTGGGTTCTGCAAAAAAAAATGGGGGGTGGGGTGGTTGAGTTGACTAATCCCGGCGTAAACAGCCTATAAATGCCTGGATCGGGCTGATCAGGACCATGACGTCAGAATCCAGAGAGGCCAGGCCAAGGAGATGCAGATTGACGCCTCGGCACCTCGGCCTCCCATTCTTGGGTGGACGTCCGCAAAACTGGTTGGTGGACGTCGTGCCTCACCTAAATGAGGTACACCAAAAGGTCGAGGTTTCATGCCCACGTTGCCATAAGTCATCAAAAGCTCACCCGCGGCAACAAGTTCACAAAGTGCAGGGGCTCCAGTCCTGCCCAACCAATTTGGCACGAGGGAAGCCACATCATTCCGGTTTCCTTTAGTCACACTAAATGGTACCGGGCATTTACACCCGCTTGTCCGAGTGGCTTCCACCTCTGCACGCCCGCTCACGCTCACGCGCATCACTTCAGAACTGCACGCTCGTTGACACCCGCTCACGCGCATCACGTCAGAGCTGCAAGCACACTGGCACGTACATGATAAGCACCCGCTCACGCGCATGCACGCGCGTTGGCACATGATAGCAGACCCGCTTACTCGCATAGCGTCAGAGCTGCACGCACCTTGACACGTGACAAGCACACCCGCTCACGCGCATCACGCACGCTGGCACATGACAAGCGCACCCGCTGGCGCGCATGCAGCCACATGGCAGGATAAGTACATCCGCGAACTGCCATGAGTGCTGAACTGCACATGTCGACCCGAGATTCAGCTGGCCTGAGTTAGTTTCCGGGATGCCCCACAGCCCCAGAAACATGCATACTTGTCAAGCTGCCTGAGAATAGCCGCGCGAGCTCTGAGGACATGCCAAAAAACGCGCGGGAGACTATGTACCCGGCGTGCATCGCGCACTAAAAGGGCTACCTTTGAAGACACGCCGATTTGTACACCTGTTTGAAATACAGAACTTTTAGAGCCAAGAGTTTAGGCTTCTGATCGGGGCTCAGTGGATACGTGTTGAAGTGAACCGCATCCTACCCAAACCTCCCTTGGTAAGTTGAGGTGAATTATATCACTTTCAACTTGTTGCCCTTGTACTATGGGAAATTTACTTTGGCAAAATATGATTTGCTCCCCAGAAAGTAAAACAATCTTCCAATGCTTCCGGGTTTGCCTTACTTCCGACTTGGGGAATGAGAGTACTGAGTTTTTTTGGCTTGATTGGCAAATGGCCGGGCCAAGGGGTGAGAGTCAGTTTCTGTTCGGTGGGCCAGGCTGGTTCACCGGTTCTTGTATTTCCCCATGACCGAGAGCAATCACGAGAAATTGGACCTTCGGTGACAAATTCTCCAGGTAGAAGAATTATGGTCCGTTTCTGGCGTTCCACGGTCATTTGACATGATGTCGCAACATTTTGCCCGGGGGCTTGGAACGAGCTCCAAACTGGATGTACAGCACCAAATGAATTGTTCAATAGCACTGGCACCCATGGCACTGCAGGGGAAATATGACCATGCCATACACAAACCGACGAGAAGCTCCGTGCAAAAGAAAGCATTGTAGAAATTCGTAAGGCTAAGGCGTTTGAAGCCCAGATGCACGCAATATGTCCCTTATTTTCGCGTCTGGAAGGGCAGCAAATGCCTCACTTTTGATCCTCAGACAAGTAATGGCCGTTCCCAACTAAACAGCGGCCATCTTTTGAAGTGTGCATGTGGAAGTTTGGGGATGAGCCGACACCCGGACCCCCAAGCCGAAATATACAATCGCGATATTGTTGGCTAGAGCTCCCCTGCACAAGAAGCTCTGAAAGAGCGGGATTTCTTATTTAAGCCAATGAAGCGGAAAAGATAAGCGGTGAGCCCTAGTCAGTCCACAATATGCGAGAAAAGCAGAACGCTGAAAGTTGCTGGCCATCCGCACAAGTGAATCCCCTCTAAAATGGGGCACCCCCCAATGCAAATCAAGCAGTGGTTCTAAATACCCGCAAGAAATGTCTCATTCCAAACCGCAAATGAACTCCCCCCCGCAAACGTAAAAGCCGGGAAAAAGCATCTGCCAAGGCGATCACCGGGGGCTTTCTCCTGGTCCAATGCCTCTGCACCTTGACTCAAGAGAAGGTTGAGAGGCACAGCATCATTCTCAGCTCCCTGTACTTTTCTCCCACTTTCCAGCAGGGTAAGCGCATAGCCCAATGTTATTTTTCCTGATGTCCGGAGGAGATCCAAGAATACAACAGCAATACTAAACTTTCCATTTTAAGGTTCGCTGAGGGCAAACGCTGGGCAAGACACACTCCACTTGTTGTTGGATGGCTCTTTCCAATTCGGGGGCTTAAGCAAGCGTCAACATCACTCGTGATCTGCTTTGGAACCAGTTAACGATCTCACTCCCCACGGAATTTCAGGAATTTGGTCTTGATGTCAGCATGTGTGTCGATGCCAGGCTACTCCATGAGCTTGGCAGAAGACGCCTTGCTGCAAGTGAGGGTGGGTGAGTGGCAGGGCCTAGATCGACATGCTTCCCTTCTCGAGCCTTGAGCACTTTGTAACAGGTGAGGCTAGTCGTGTTCACATGTCACAAGGCCGTTGGCCTTGACAAGGCATGTTGTCCCTCTACTCGACATGGTTTTTTCTTCCATCCCACGTCCAAATACGAGCAGCGGCCAAAGCCCGCGTTGGCCATTTTGGCAGGGTCTACTGGGATAGCGGGGATAGTCAAGTCCAACTCTCAAGTGAAGAAGCTTTGTGTTTTGCTGGAACTTGATGGTCCCAAGTCCATGAGGCCAGTTTTGCCCCTTTGAGCGACTGGTCGGAGTCTGGAAAGGTCAAAGGGAGGCAAGCCAACGCAAGCGACTAAGCCCAGAAAGCCAGTACCACAGGTGTGCAAATAAAGCCATTCAATCTGTACAACAAGGATGTGTGTGTGTGTATCCATATGTAAATAAATACAGCTGTATATATATATATATGCATATACCCCCCTTGAAATACTCTGGTTTTCGTCCAGAGCTCAAGTTTTTGGCCAGACTGGGGGAACTCTGAACTGAGCTGACAGGACGTGCAACTCCATGCAAAGTCAAACCAAGCCGAAGTAAAGCTCAACGTTCAAAATGAGCTGCTAGTTAAACAGCTCGACCACGAAGTGTGTTTAAAGTCACGCTGGAGTCTGCGAAGTACACATTGGCAGCCCCAGCTTAAAAAGCACAACTTTCAGCACAAGACTAGTACGCGAAGCATGCTTTGGCAGCTTCATCATGCCTGTCAGCTGTTTGGTTTATTATTTCTGTTTTACAAGGAAACTCGGCAAATCACCCACTTGGGGGAAGGCACGCAACCCTACGTGCAACTGACATCCAAATCAAACATACAAGCGCTTCATGTCCTTGCGCAGTTGCATATACATGTTAGTTCGTTGTTTGTACATGATTCCATATACATTTTAACTACGGGTGCTTTAATCAAACTTGCAAAGCAGCTATCTCAGTTGTGCGTTACTTGTCTATTGCGATTCAACCACTGCCAAGAACAACTAATGAAATTTCAAGTACAGGAAGAATATGAAAACTAGAATGATTTCGAGTTCAAGCCAAATTCAACGTTGGGCGGTTGCAGTTTCTTGCGTGTTTCAAAAGTCAAGTTGGAGAACACAGCTATAGCAGCTATTGTCATGGCCAGATAAAACTAGAATCGAGAGAAAACTCATAAGGGTTATTGTCCTTATCTAACTCCATGTGGTTTTAACCGACCAAAAACTGAGGCAAACCAACAACAGAAAAATGTGTTCAAACATAGATCTTATTATTGTCATTAAAAGCCGTAAAACGCGGTGTTTTCAGCATTCGCTCAGATCATGTTACCCTAGATCGAAGGCCAACTACTCAAGACTCCACAGACATCGTTTTAGAACATCCTCTTTTCTAGACTCTTTAAGGCTTTCCCACCTGCATTGAAGATTGTAGATCTCCAGATGCTGTTTTTTGAGAATCGTCCATCCCAAGTCCGACAAAAGCTGTACATTTTTCCCCTGGTTGGCAAAATGCAGGCGGTAGTTTGACTCTTGGAACGTGCTCTGCCTTGTCCGCGCTGGCAGACTCCATACTTGGCCAATCCAGGATCTGCTTTCACATCCTGGATTGAGAATTGAGGATTGAAGATTATTTGGCAACTGTTGATGGGATTCTTCAAATATGTACTTCGGGCAATCCAAGATGTGCTAGCACGTGCTAGCACATCCTGGATTGAAAGTTGAAGACTGGAGATTCTCAGACCACTTTTCTGGCAATCTTCAAATCCATACTTAGGTCTGCTAGCACTGGATTCCCCCAAGTATAGATTTGAAGAATCTCAGCAAGAGTTGTCAGAAAATCTTTGATCTTCGATCATCAATCCAGGATATACTACCACATGCTAGCACATCCTTGATTGCACTAAGTACTGATGCTATAATTTAGGTCTAAAAGAGTGCATTTGTTGATCATCAGTTTTAGAAACTGAAAAGTGCATTCCACATTCGTTTTTGCAGCAAACATGTCAATGTTTGGACGAACACCTGTGTATTTTGTTTTTTTTGGGGGGGGCATCGCGTGCGGGCACCATATATATATATATATATACATACACCAGGCTATCAAGCTACCCAGCTACCCAGGCGGACTCAGAATGTGTGGATTTTTCGGGAGCACAGGAGGACCAACACAAGTTCATGCCGATCCTTGAGGGCTATCCCAGCGAGCACATCGAGCATAGATCGGGCGCCCAGAAAATTCCGTGGACGGTGCCTTAAGGGATCCAATGCCAAGGTAACCATGGAATACACATCAGTATTGCCCGAAAACGGGGGAGATTAATATATCATTGCGATCCTAAAGTGGAAATGGTAGGGAGTCAGGTTGGTAACCAGGGAAAACCTGCATAGTAAAAGGATATTTTAGGAGTCTTTTTGACATCATCATGGTAAAAAGCTGGGTTTTGAAACGGAAGAATCATGAGGAGACAAACAATTATTGGAGGTGTTTTTTTTGACATCCTCGAAGAGGCAAAGGGGAGGAATAGAGGATCCAGCTTTCCCTGAGTAATGAGGGAAAACCATTGTGCAACACCTAGAGGTAAGAAGCCTGGTTACCTGGTGTAGCAATGACCGGGTCCATTGGGACAATCCACCTCCTTATAGCCCGAAAACGGGGACCCCAAATGGAGATTACGATTATTGCGATCCTAATCAAGTGGTTGTTGTTTGTGTATAGAGTCAGCGTTGCCGACGCCAGCAGCGTTTAGGAAATGGTTGGTCAGGCAGTCAGGTTGGTGCCAATGTTGCAATAACTAACTATCCTGTCTGAGTTGCGGTGCGATTCTGTGTACTGATTGACTCGCCTGATTTGATCCAGGGAGCAAATGCCGCACCTCACTTGAACATAAAATGAATTTTCCCGGCACCTCCAGATTACCACCTCACTGGATTACCACATGGCATAGTTCATAAAACTGAATTTCACTACAAAACTATGGCACCTCACTGGATTACGTGTGTGACAAGTAGTCCATAGTTTTCAATTTGCCCGAAGCCCTTTGGAAGCCAAAGTAGTCCATCTGTGTTCAAGAGGTCCAGACCTTTTGCACACCCAGATTGGTAATGACCACCTGGTCAGGTATTCAGCGGCTCAAAGCCAGTGCCACGGCCCCGTGTTGCACAAAGACGGAGTTTAGGATTAGTTGGTCAAGTTGCATGCCATCCACACCAAGTCGTTTGTGAACGGGTGTTTGTTCTGGCAATGGTGTGAAACGCTGGCACGGAATGTGTTCACCATCGTGGAGCCCGGCAATGTCACGCTTCTTACACGCTTGTTGCACCAGTAGTCGAATAGGTGCTTACATAGTTCATTCGGTCGTCAGCCTTCTGAATACAGAGGGGCGGGTGGTTCTTCGAGATTAGCGGTACCGAGGCTCGCCAGCCCATGCTATATTCGGCGTGTTGAGTCAGTCTTGAGGGAAGCCCTCCTCCCGCAAGTGCTGCACTCAGCGCCAATATCTACCAATGGCATTGTTGCGTATTCCTCATTCAACACGGCCCACTTCCCAATTTCACTATTCTTGCTATCTTGCTTGGTGGGTGGTGTTTGTTGTTTGCTAGCATACCAGGAGTTGGACAGACAAGTTCGCCTCCCTTTTTTTATGAGGGATTCCCTTGTTGGGAGCCAGTGAGGTGTGTTCCGAAAGTTTCAGAGAGGCCGGCCAACAGTTGTTCAAAGGTTACGGAGTCCCCTTGTTTGGTGGTTTGGATTGGTGGTTTGGGGATTTGAACCCCTGTTTCTTGCAGGGAGTAAAGGTGAAACCACCAAATCAAACCACCAAATCACCAATCCAAACCAGAAATTAGGGGGAAGATACATGTGACATGTGGGGTTTCCAGGTGTTCCCCCCCACCCCAACCCCTTCCCCTCCTCCTGGCGCAGCCACCTGGTACCTGGTGGGCACGGCAGTGGGCATGCTGACCTTCTCAGCACCTCGGAAGGGTGGAAGTACGCGCCTCCAAAGACGTCCATTTGCTTATCTTCACTGTTCTTGGCATGTGTTTTGGTTTTTTGGGTTGTTTGGCTCTGTTCATTTTTACCTGGGGGTCTGCAAAAAACAATGTTTTTTGCTACCATACCAAGAGTAGAGATGTTAAGAAAATGTGTTATTTTTCCCTGTTGGTTTTAAAGGCAATTTATCACTACTGGAAATATTTTTTTCCAGGGGGCTTAAGCAAATGGCAGAATAGAACCGGCCGTCAAACAGCAACCATGGGTTTTGAATTGTCCCATAAGTCAGGTATTCGGAAAAACTATAGTCAACTATATATCCTTGGATAGTGCAGGATCAAATGAAGACTCACTGGGCTTGGAGGTCCATGCAACAAATGCGATGGTATTCTCATATTTGGGCGAAGATAAGGCGGCCTCACCAAAACATTTGGCTTGAGACCGAAAGATACCGGAAGCCCGTGATGGAGGGCATAGTTGTTGGGAATCTCTCATTTCCTTGCAAATACTTTCAACATTTGGGTGCACTTGGGGGTGGTGTTGGAGCCCAAACGAAGGGTCCCATTTATGAGGGTGCCCCTACTTTCGGGGGTACTGAAACCAAACTTAGTGACTGGAATAGACTATTCGCAACTATGTGCCACCCGAAATATGCAGGTCGAGCGGAGTTCTGCGTTTGGGGGGGTCATGGCCTTATTCACCACTATTCACCCACTAGTAATTTGTCTTCCATTCGCTTAGGATGTTTTATTTTGGTTTTGAAGGCAAGCTATCACCATTGACATACATGTCCCTTTTTGTCCAGAGCACTTAAGCAAACGGAGATAGCAAAGCGTTGTGAATGGCATTGGCTGATGCTGAGCAGGGATGAACCCGCCAGACCCCCCAAGTTCCATGATCTTCAGTTGCTGTTCAAGAGAAACAAATTTAAACCTGGGCCCATGTACTTTGTTGTCCTGCCTGTTTGAAGTGTACTGTCGAGGTGGTGATTTTGACGGATTCCGGCAAGTCAACAGTTGCTTTGAGAGCGGACTTGTGACAGGTACATGAGAACTTGATGTTCTATTTCGGGCGAGGTTGGCAACCAATCTTAGGACATTTGATACTCGCTCGTTCTTTCAAGACAAGACCCTAATTGTGAACAGCATCCTACTTGTCGGCTCAAAGCTGGTTTTTGTGTTGTTGAGTTCTCTGGGAGTGCTTGAACTTGTCCCAGAAAGGAGGTCACATCACTGGATTTTAGAGCTTCCGCCTGGCAGTCTGACAGTTGAGGGTGCCCCTTGAACTTCTATGAAACAATCCTAGACGGATAGGCAATGGGTATAATTATAGAAGGGCTCTAAGATGGGTTGTGTCCTCGGATGGCCTTTGTTGACTGCGCGTAGCTTGGCAAGAACAACTCGAAGGCCCCTAGATAGTGCACACCAGCGCTAATCCTCATCTCCGAACATGTTCCGTCTTGTGCGAGTTGTCCAGCCGGTGCCTCCCGGTCTGGCAGCCAGGTTGGTTGGGAGGGCCGCGACGCGGGTCATCTCTGGTTGTTTCCAAGTTAAAAAGACCTGTTTGCGCGACATTTGGAACGGTCATTTGGGCGAAATGTCACGAACTCACCTGGCGGTTAAACGGTTTAACGAGTTCACTTTTACAGGAGGGTTCCCTTGCTTCTGTCTTTGGAACTACAGCAATGTGCCAAGGTTTCCTTTGCAGGATGATGCTAATCTTTCAAATGTTTCCGGTCGCATGTTGGCATACATTCTTGCTGTGGCTGGCTGGACTCAGGCCGTTTGGTCCATTTGCCTCAGCCACTTGGCAGCAAAACGCCAACAAGAGAGCTCCCATGCCACTGCCAACTGCTGTTGTCCCAGACCTCGAGCGGCGCTCTGTTGGCCGTTTTGTTTCTTTCTTCTTTTGCTTCTTCTTGTTGCCAGTAGACCCAGCGAAGCCGGTCGGCGAAAGTTTCAATCTTGTGTTTATAGTTCTGGTTTGTTCCCGTTCTTCCTTTTGTGTGTTCTCTTCTTACTGTTTGTCATTGTTAATTTGTCCTTGAACACAAAGCTGGCAGCTTAGCGGCGCAGGCTAAACAGTTGAGCTGTACTGACATTGCTATGTTTGGAGTGTATGTTTCTTGTTTGTCGTTCGTGTTTTTTTGGTTTTGTTTTTCTTTCGCAGGCCCTTTCATTGAAGGTGTTTGAGTGTGTTTGTTGTTTTTGATTCTGTTCAGTTCATGTTTGGCGGGGGTGCGAACCACAAAGATAGTTTTGCCAACATGCCAAGGGTTGGTAGCAACGGCAATGCGGCTGCCGTTCACCAGCAGAAAGTTTAGTGACAACAAGCAGACTCACACCGTTTGGGCAAAGTCGATCATGTTTTTTGGCCAACGACAACGCTAGCTAGTCCTCTGCAAATCTTTGCCCACATGAAAAAGCCTCTTAACCAATCCAGCCTGCAGCTGAAGGTTTCTTTTTCGGAGGTGATTTGTTAAGATTTGGGGTTTGTGTGAAGTACTGAAGACCAGTTGGAGGTCCCTTATTTCGGGTGGGTGTAGAAAGTTACATTTTCCCCACATTGCCCTTTACCCCCAAAGCGAATGCCCGTCCGACGCGCTCAGGAAAGCTGTTGCCTGGCAGCAGGTTGAAGGTTCACAGCGCTTAGCAAGTGGATTATGACCTGGGTGTGTCTTTCTTTGGGCCCCCAAAACGAATTGTTCTTTCATTTAGTTTCCGTTCAAAACCAACCTGAAGTGTACCCTCAAAAGACATGCCCACCTTCTATGGAAACTGAGGTTAGTTCCCATAGCTATGCCCTTCGGGGCAAGAAACCTGGGTAGATTGTTTTTAGGGCCTTTCTTTGCTTGTGCTTTTCTAGGGAAAATAACTTTACCCTTTTCCTTAGATAATTCTCTCAGCTTGCCAGAATCTCCGTTTTTCAACTTCCAAAAGAGATTTGTGCACTTTGTGGAACATGCATTTGCGGTTGTTCGCGATCGCCAGCGCTGTTTGCATTGGCTGCTCTGATCGCCCTTGTGTTTGGGCCTTTTGTAGCAGGCATAATTGACCATGGCGTTGACAGGATTGATTGCCTGGTCTGGCTGCATTGGCAAATGTCCTCCAAGCATGCCAACCCACAGGCATCCAAAGCTGAACTATAAACCTTTATCTTCCATGCGAAGCAGTTGCAATATGTCGCAAAGCGATTGGAAGTTCAGGTTTCTCAATGCTGCACCTTGCTTTCCACCAAGCTGTGCGATCGCTCCCACCAAGCTGCGAGCGCTTCGACCGCCCTAAAATTCCTTCTCCTTTCCTGGAAGCGGAGGGAGTCCCTTGCAACCACCCCCCCCAGAAGGCGTGGCGGTCTGGTCCGCGCAAGTGTGGTGTCCAGTGTGATGTTGAGGGAGTTTGTGTCTGTGTGTCTGTGTGTCTGTGTGTCTGTGTGTCTGTGTGTCTGTGTGTCTGTGTGTCTGTGTGTCTGTGTGTCTGTGTGTCTGCGGGACACGGTTGAAGTTAAAGAGGTGCCAAAAGGACACCCACCTGACTTGGTTCTTCGCTTAGTTCCCGTGGCCATAGGGACTCCCCCCACCATTTTCCAAGGCGTTCCCTCTCACAACTCATCTTGCTGGTGCTCAGTAGGGAATGTGGGAATGAACCCACGGCTCTTTTTTTTCCCGTTTTTTTTTTGGGGGGGGGGGGGGAAAGAAATCGCAAACAAAAACCGGCTAGCTTTGAATTTGTGTTGGACACTGACCCCAGCAACAAGAGATTGGATCCCCTCCAAGTTCAAGCTCCTATTCAAGGGCTTTCAGTTGTCGGAGTCCCTATGACTTGCTGGTGCTCAGCGGGGAACCAGGGAAAGACCCTTATAAGCCAGCAAACTGGTGGTTTCCTTTAAGGGGATGGGGAACTTGTTTTTTCCAAGCCCCCCTATTTGTCACCCAGAGGGCCAGCTCGCAAGGGGAGCCAGGAAAAGGTCATGAACCTTTGAGTGGTTCTTAGTGACACAGAAGTCGCCAATGGCCACGATACGGCTGCAATGGCTCCCTGCTGAACCAAATGATTGACAACAATCTTGCCATGGTTCTGGCAGAGATCACGTTTCGTTTACTATGCAGCGGTCAGATAGATGTTGCTGGATGAATGATCAGAGTGTCAATACTAGATGCTTTGGAAGAACAAAACTACAAGTGCCGAAAAGCCATGAACCGTTTCTCGAGCAACTATCTATTTGCCGTCCTCTTGAAATAGAATGATTTGCCTTTGAGCGACTCTTGTTTCTCTTAGTTTTGTTTGACAAAGAAACACGCAAGCAACTAATACTCTCGAACGATCGATATTCATTCAGCAATACTCGATCGACCTTTTTCGAACACCATTCTCGACTGGGATGTTGCTTCATATCAGAGGCAGTTACAGGCCTGGAATGTCCCTCCTTGCCTGGGAAAGGTTTCGGTTTCAGATAACCAATGGAAGGCAGCAAGTCGGCGGACTTGAAGGCTTCTTTTTTGGGGGGGGCGCTTGCAATTTGGTGGTTCTCCCCTTGGTTTCGAAAAACACCAAAAGGGGCACCCTCAAAAATGGATTATGAAGCAATTGGTCAGTTCCTGCCCTTCCTAACCTAGATAGGGTTCTGGGGGTGCCTTTTAATTGGACGGTCCCCTGTTTGTGAAAATACAGAGACTTGGTTTTAAAGTCTTGCAAACCCTGCAAGGGAGGACTCCAACTTACTGTCGAGCTTCCTGAGGAAGGGGAAGATGGGCGGCTTCATGTTCGAGTACATTGGCGTCGGGGGCCTACAGAGGTCGAGTTAGGTTTGGAGAATGAAGAACCGCCTCGTTTCACAGGGTCCCTTGAAGGATACATTTGGGCCAGGTCAAGCATCACCTTTAAATCAGGTTAATATCGAGGAGTTTCTTATAAAGCAGGTGTTGGATGCTTTTGACCCTGTTGGTTTGCTCCAAACTTGGATATGTATTGAATTGATTCCACAAATTTGGAGGTTCACCATGGAGAGACAAAGGTCCTATTGGGCAAGAGGTGGCGAGGCTTGGAGAAGTCCACTTATCCTCATTCGATTGGTTGCCCTTGGGTGGTTCTGCTTTTTGCCTGGGCGCTAGCGTATCCGTTTCCCGACTAATTAGGTCCCCCAGTAGTGCCCTTTTACCCTTTTTTCGGGGAGGGTTCCCCTATTAAAACAGACAACATAAAGCAGGGTACCCTTATTCTAACCTTTCTACTGGAGGCCCTAGCCGATTTGTTTTTCCCGCAAGTGGAATTCTGAGCAAGAGCCGAAGTCTTCACGCCAAGTCAACCCCCCCAATTGCAACTGGTATTTACAGGAAGCTGAATGGTAGACTTGGAAATCAAGCCCGAGACAGTGTACAATAGGGTGCCTTAGTTTTCTCTCAGGCCAGCGAACACGCTCACTTCCCCCGTTGGGCTTGCACACTTTCGGGACCGATGGACTTGTGTCTCAAGTGAGGCTATCGCACTGAAGAGAGTCATCCTGGGCTGTGGTTCGTTGAGATGCGCCCTGAGGCACTAGCCAGCACCACACTTTGGGCAGGTTGAACTTGCCAGTTGCAGGTGCGGTTTTTCCCATTGCCTGGCGGAAAATTCAGGGACAAAACCTCTATGGCCCGAACTAACGGACAGGATGATTGGGTAAGCCGACACCTTGACTTTTTCCTCGAAATCCAACCGAGTCACAATGAACTACTGAAACGGTCTACCCAAAACCATGTAAAGAATCTAAAGTCCTATTTGTGACCGGGTTTGTCCCTTACTTCGCTTACCGGTGTTTTCATTGTGGTTCAACCAAGAGCTCCGTTGTGGCGCCAGGTAATGTCTGCCGTCACGGGATGCTGGTGTCTGCAACGAGTGGCTTTGAACGCAATGTGCTCGGGCGGGTGAGCCTGTCCGCATTTCAATGTTCACTTCCTTCGTCTTCGTTTGTTTTGCCTTTTGGTCCAGAGAGTGGGTGAAGGGTTTGCTTTGCTGTTCCTTTCGTCCATCCTTCCGTGACACCCCCTTGGTTTACACAAGGCCCCGGTGTAGAAACCTTCTTTAGTGTCAACAAGGTTGGTGACAAATAGGCATGCGTGTGGAAAAAGTGTGTGTGTGTGTGTGTGTGTCTCTACTGCTGCTTGTTATGGTGCCGAGGAAATCCCCTCAAAGACCCATATGTGCCCTGACCCCTTTTACTTGGGGTTGACAGGGACATCATCTACCTGGTAGCAAGGATCCTTCATAACTGTTCAAGCTACAATGATTCCTATTGAGGGAACCATAGGCCATATCGGGAGTTTTCACCAAGGTCTGGCTCGAGGGCGGACCCACCTGGCCCTGCTAGTGCTTGAGGCCATGTTTCGTTCCATGGTCACCGTGGAGATCCTCTTACTCCAGTGCGCCCAGAGACCGGTATTCGTGCGAGCGAAGTAGCGGCGACTCTTGGACTTTCAAGACCCGGCAGAATCTGTCGTCTGTTGCACCTTGCTCATGGCTGCACCGTGCCATGCTATCGGCTTCCGGACTGTTGCAGCCAGTGCACCTGTCCGGTTTGCATTGGACGGAAGTCACTGACCGCGTCATACAGCTGAGCCACAATCAAAACCCGGGTAAGTGGTTAGTAATGACGATCCCAGCCATAAATAGCTGCGGTCGACCATTTTTGTACCAGGTTTTGATTGTGACTCAGCTGACGGTTGCTATGCTCATGCACAGCTGACCTTCTTCTGGCGGCTCGACCTTCTGGCGGCTCGAGCGATCGTGTCGGCTATGCTGATGAGCTACCGAGAGCTTAGCAGCACGAGAGCTTTGCAGCACGGGACGCCGGTGAACTGAAGCAGCTGCGCATTTGAGTGCATTCTTAACCGGAGTTTTGGCCTACTTGCAGTCAGTTTGCGCAGGAGTTTGGTCGAAGTTGCATCGGAGTTGGGCAGCGTTGCCCTTGTTGTCCTCGTTGGCTGTCCATCACGTTGAACCATCAAACAGGGAGATTGCTCGCAGGGGGTCTATGCGTAGTCAAGTTTGCTTACAACATGTTCACGCTTCAGCCTGGGCAATGTTTAGCGACACCTGCTCGAGGGGTGGCCACAAATCCGTGAAGCTTCCTTGAGAACTTGGGGGCTCCATGTTTTATGTGTGTGTGTGAAAAACTACAGTCCCGGAAACCCTGAAGACGTCCATGTCGAGTGCCGGCGTGTTTGCCAAACACGGACATGGTCAAAGAAATGACAGTGACCCCGAAGTCCACGTTCGCGCCGGCGTTTCTCCAAGTAGCACTAACTAGTATTGCTTGTTATCTTCCCCATCCAGGGGATTCTTCAGGATCTCGTGATGAACGGCAATCTTCAGAGCACAACTGGGCCATTTCACAAAGCGACAGGGCAACACGAAGCGCAATCGCTCCGGAGGGCTTCACACGGCGTCCAGTTGACTTCTTCAACCCACAGGTTGTCACACAGCTCTGGCCTTGTGTAGTCGCAGCCAAATCCCAAGTACACACTGTTTTTGGACATGCGCCTGGCTGGAAATGCCGATTTGTCTTTACGTCTTTAGAAGAAAGGCAGAAAGCAGGTGCACTCAAGTGCATGTGACCAACCTGTCAAATCATTCAGCTGTTCTTTGTATGCCTCCACACATGTGCGTCTTTTTGGCCTGTAGGTCATAGATGGATTCCACTGGTTTCAGCTCGGTTGTTCATGATTCACCACTGGAATCATCAGTTTTCAACACCTGGGATCTGGTGTCGTTCTTGAGGTTGCCGTTTGTGGAGGTGCTCTTTCTGGGGAATCACTTGGACACCCTTTTTGTTCCCATGGCGTTTTGCGGGACCAGGGAGCGTTGTTTCCATCCGAGCGAGGCCGGCCTGTATCAGCTGCTCCTCGGCCGCAAGGAGCTCTGAGATCATTGCTCTGCTCACAAATGGGTGTGGCTCAAAATTAAACGATCGGAGGGGCAAACCGCAGGTTTTGTTCCATGTTTCCACTTTCCAGGGTTCCATTTTGGTGTCGGTTTTTGGAGCCACGGCCAAACTGCCACAAGATGACAATGGCAAGATGGTGGCTGTATATCCCAATGAATTTTCAAGGGGAGTGGCCGAGCTCCATCGCTCACATTCCCACCAAAGCCATGTTAATGTTTGGGGAGGCTAAACAAACAGAATTGGGATGATTGTCTGTCCATCCCGGATGTCTGCCAAGAGTAGATGGCCACCAACTTGTGGATATGCTTATTTTAGGATTCGGAATTATTGTATAAACACAGATGTGTTACTCCCCTGCAAATTGACATGGCACTCCAACACCCATCACCTCTAAACTCTAGAGCAATCTCACGCGGATCGCTTTTGCGGACTCCATCTTACTGGGGAGAAATCCCATTATACATCCCCTCAATTCTTAACCGGGCCCCTTCAAAGTATCAGTTGTGTTTTATTTTTTGTTTTTGTTTTTATATCAAGTCGAATGGTTTCCCTCAGGATTGGTTGACATCCTTCCGTTCGGTGATCTCCGGGGAAAAACAGTGAATGTGGAATTGTCTCGAAACATTGGAACCCCGAAATCTGTGATGCTTTTTGGGTCCTTGTTTCGAGTTTTTAACCAAACGCTCCACGTTCCACTCGCGAAAGGTCCGTGTTTTCAGCCGCCGAACCGGGACGAAGCCGAACGCTGAGGTTCGAACACTTCGAAGACGGAGCCATGGCAAATCCCAGTGATTCCTTACAGATCTGATGGGTCTGTCTCTTTTGAGGGAACCCATTTTGAGGGTGGGTTGCAGGGAAACCACCCTTTTCGGGTTCCCACATTGTATTTGGAGACACCATCATCTAGCTATATATATATATGTATATATACATATTCTATCAACATGATCTGTGGATCTTGTTTTTAGTCTGAGAGTGAATCTGCGAGTCTCTGCTGAAGAATCCCGGAGCCTCCATGCCCCTTTAGAACTGGGGCACAGTGCCCATGGTCCCCTATCGGGTTAGATTCTTAGATGGGCATGCATGTGTCCGAAAATCTATATGGTACTTTCAGCCTCGTTTTTTTAACGGACACAGAGAAACAATCCGCCTTGCTTTTTGAGCAGTGCAGCGGCTGCCCTTTGACCCCCAAAGACATTTCACCTAGGCTCTCACAGCGGTTTCACGGATTGGCATCCCCCTGCTTTGAGTTTGTGGTTCCGGTTAGGGGTGTCATCCACTTTGCTGGAAACAAGGATCCAGCGGGTCCCAGTCACTACTAATACTAGGTTGTGATTTTAAGGGTGGTTCGCCCGGTTACTTGTACCGGAAAATGGAATGTATGAGCCAAATGCTACACGTGTGGGATCCCTTCACAAACGTTTTCTCTAAGGATTCCTGTTTGACAGTCTCTAGAGTGGGAGCTGCGGAGAATATCGCATGGGTGTTTTGACCTGGACGTGCACCCACCAAAACTGCAAAAAAGAAACTGTGGGGCCTGATTGTTTTCTCCTTGAAACGCCGTTCGTTCGTATCAACATCATCCTAGTGCCGATTGGACCCCCCCCCCCATTTTTTTTTTTAAAACAAAAAAAAGAGTCGTGAAAACCGACAGTTGCATCCTTCGAGGCACGTCACCTGATGCTACTCGTGTGACCTTTAATAGACCCTTAAACGGGTCCAGGTTGGGCTAAGCTCACCACTCAAAGGGGACAGCAGCAAACAAATTGATGCTCAAAGGATTATCAAAATAGTTAAATTTGGCAAGGAACACACCCTTGGGGTCCCGAATGGGTCATGCCTCTTACAGCCTTATGTCCCGCAGTTTCTTGCGGGGTTGGCGTTTAAATGTAGTTGGATTACTTGCAATATTGTCGTATCAGGTATCCCCGCAAATATGGGGTCTCCACCAGGAGCCGGTTGGTCCTCTGCACTACAAAAAAACATCTCAGGTGATATCCCCAACAGCACGCGGTGCTCTTTTTAGTGCTCGCACCACCCCGTAGCCCTCGCAGAACCTCGTGGAACCCTCGTGGAATCTAGTGGAACCCTGGTGGAACCTTCGTGGAACCTTACCTCAGGGCCGCCCCGGACCACCCCAGAGCCTATCTGGGCTGAGACCCCAATGCTTCCAGCTGTTGGGGGAGGGAAAAAAACTTACATTTGTTGAACGCATAGATTGGTTGCTTTTCTAGCTTCACTCCTAGGAGATAGATCGGATAGGATCGGAAAGCTTGCGGGAGACCACAAGGTATATGTGGGCATGCTTGTCAACGCAGCTCATGTAAGACGAGTGCGTCTTCCTTTTATCGCAGTAGAGTAGAGCTCTCTTGCAAGCATGTGGCTCTTTGTTGCGGGTATCGTTTGTGTCAGGGAAACCGAAGGCAAAATTAGCCATTTGCGAGCTCCCAACCCATTTTTGTTGGTCGAGTGGGACTCTCAGGATTGAACACCAAGCCGATGGCCTCCAGCCGAGCGGTCATCGTCAATGTGGCTTTGGTCAAGTCGGATTTGCTTTCGTTTGGATGTTTGTTGGCCACGTCAGGCAGGTGATCTCATTATAGGGGAGCCAACTTTAGTCCCCCAGTTATAACAATAGTTACAACTGAATTTTTCACCTACCTACCTGACGTGGGTTGATCCAAGAAGGGTTTCGCCACCGGGGGGGGGGGCATGGAAACCAAGGATGTATTTCTAAAGCTGAGGAAATTGGATCAGCGGCAACCCATGGGATAGGAAAGGGATTACGCAACCCCTGGCCGGTTTTGGGTTTTTAGGGAGTGCAGCCATGTCACAATCCGGATTCCACTTTTGGGGCAACGGGCAACACCCCACTGGATCCATCCACCAGGTTATTCGTCCGGAGCGCACCTGGTCGGACCCCGCTTAAATGAGACGAACAGGACACCAATGGTTTCAAGCGAGCTGGCGGTTTCCGAAGATTTGAGCTTGGCACCGAAATCATGTTGAATTGTCGGCCGTGTCAATCTTTTAAAGGGTGGGCAAGCCTCCCAAATGAGTTTCCTTTTGGTTTCCCTTGGTGTCATTTGAAAAAACAACAACAAGTGTACCCTCAAAACTTGGTGGTTCTCAGCCATC